TCTGTTTTGATTCCGTGACGGTCCATGCCCCTGAGTAACAAAATTCAAACGAATCGAGTAAATAAAAAATATTTGTTTGCCATATTGTATCCGCCATTTTTAATTTTAAAAATTCGGTAGCAGATTCATAATCTGCAACCTCAAAAACCCCTAAGTAACGAAATTTAAGTCAATCAAGTGAATTTAAGAAAATTTTGTAAACCATATTTGATCCGCCATTTTGAATTTTGAAAATACGATTATATATTCGTCATGAGCGAACTCAAAAACAAATAAGCACTAAGTTCTGTTAGATTTCATAGCCATGGTAAATATAGGTGCACAATAAAAAGAATTGAATAATTTTATTCTCAAATTAGCGCCATTTTGAAGCTGCCATTTTGTTTTTTTAATTTTCTGTTTCATATATTTTAAAAATTAAATAAGTTTGTGCCAAATTGTAACCCCTCAATAAAAAATGTTTACTGGGAAGAGATGTCCCGGGGACATGTCCTGAATTTGTCACTGTTTTAATAAACAATTTATAACTAGTGAGTGATGTTCCGGGAAGACTTGTCCTGAATTTGCCACCATTTAAATTAATAATTTTTACTGGGGAGTGATGTCCTGGGGAGACTTGTCCTAAGAAGACTTGTCCTGAATGTATCACCGTTTAAGTAAATAATTTTTACTGGGGAGAGATGTCCCGGGGAGACTTGTCCTGAATTTGCCCCTGTTTTAATAAACATTTTTTAACTAGGGAGTGATGTCCCGGAGAGACTTGTCCTGAATTTGCCACTATTTTAATAAACAATTTTTCACTGGGGAGAGATGTCCTGGGAGACTTTTCCTGGGGAGACTTGTCCTAAATTTGCCACTGTTTTAATAAACATTTTTTAACTGGGGAGTGATGTCCCGGGAGGACTTGTCCTGAATTTGCCACCATTTAAATTAATAATTTTTGCTGGGGAGTGATGTCCTGGGGAGACTTGTCCTAAGAAGACTTGTCCTGAATGTATCACCGTTTAAGTAAATAATTTTTACTGGGGAGAGATGTCCCGGGGAGACTTGTCCTGAATTTGCCCCTGTTTTAATAAACATTTTTTAACTAGGGAGTGATGTCCCGGGAAGACTTGTCCTGAATTTGCCACTGTTTTACTAAACATTTTTTAAGTGGGGAGTTATGTCCCAGGGAGACTTGTCCTGGGGAGAGTTGTTCTGAATTTGCTACTGCTTTAATAAACATTTTTTAACTGGGAAGTGATGTCCCGGGGAGACTTGTCCTGGGAAGACTTTTCCTGAATTTGCCACTGCTTTAATAAACATTTTTTAACTGGGGAGTGATATCCTGGGGAGACTTGTCCTGAATTTGCCACTGTTTTATTAAACATTTTTTAACTGGAGAGTTATATCCCGGGGAGACTTGACCTGGGGAGACTTGTCCTGAATTTGCCACTGTTTTAATAAACATTTTTTAACTGGGGAGTGATGTCCCGGGAAGACTTGTCCTGAATTTGCCACCATTTAAATTAATAATTTTTACTGGGGAGAGATGTCCCGGGGAGACTTGTCCTGGGAAGACTTGTCCTGAATTTGCCACTGTTTTAATTAATAATTTTTACTAGGGAGAGATGTCCCGGGGAGACTTGTCCTGAATTTGCCACTGTTTTAATAAACATTTCTTAACTGGGGAGAGATGACCCGGGGAGACTTGTCCTGAATTTGACACTGTTTTAATTAATAATTTTTACTAGGGATAGATGTCCCGGGGAGACTTGTCCTGAATTTGCCACTGTTTTAATAAACATTTTTTTACTGGGGAGTGATGTCCTGGGGAGACTTGTCCTAAATTTGCCACTGTTTTATTAAACATTTTTTAACTGGAGAGTTATATCCCGGGGAGACTTGTCCTGGGGAGACTTGTCCTGAATTTGCCACTGTTTTAATAAACATTTTTTAAGTGGGGAGTTATGTCCCAGGGAGACTTGTCCTGGGGAGACTTGTCCTCAATTTGCAACTGTTTTAATAAACATTTTTTATCTGGGGAGTTATGTCCCGGGGTGACTTGTCCTGAATGTGCCACCATTTAAATTAATAATTTTTACTAGGGAGAGATGTCCTTGGGAGACTTGCCCTGAGAAGACTTGTCCTGAATTTGCCACTGCTTTAATAAACATTTTTTAACTGGGGAGTGATGTCCTGGGGAGACTTGTCCTGAATTTGACACTGCTTTAATAAACATTTTTTAACTGTGGAGTGATGTCCCGGGTAGACTTGGCCTGGGGAGACTTGTCCTTAATTTGACACTGTTTTAATAAACAATTTTTCACTGGGGAGAGATGTCCTTTGGAGACTTGTCCCATGGGGAGTTATGTCTCTGTGGAGATTTATCCTGCGAGAACTTGTCCGGGGGAGACTTTCTGGGTGTGACTTGTCCCAACCCCTGCGATTTTTGTGAAATTGAACAATGTCTAGTGCGTTGGGCCAATCTTTAGATTGGTTTTCATTCATCCAAGCAGACAAAATCTCTTCTATATCCCTTGTAACGTTGATTTTAAATAATCACGTTATAAAAACCGAATTTAGTTTTCGCCGAAACTTATTCAGTTAATTCTTGATTAATTATTATAAATTAAATGCGGTAGCCAGAATCGAACTCAACATTTTACTTTATTATTATCTTGTTGAATTGTATAGAATCAATATAATACAAAAATGTTGAGTTGCATAAAAATCATATTGTTTATCTCAAGAGAATTCCACACGTTTTGGTTGATTAGAAAACACAATGTTATTTATTGTTATTTAATTATCAATCGACCGAAAATGTGTCAACAATTAATATTAATCGGCACAAATTTACTGTCAACTGGCAACCACCTGTCATAGATGTTGGGCCTGTTATCATGCTGCTGGGGCGAACCCAAGGTGCGCATGACATATATACGGGACCGAAGCAGGATGTCAATTAACCTAATTTCGACAGTTCGTGCCTGGCTGCCGATAGACTCTAACGGTGACACCGCGGTTGACCATTTTCATTGTTAAAATAATCAAAGATGGATTTCCGTGCTCGTCTGGACCGGATCAAAGGTTAGTGTCCAGTGCACATCTTCCTCGTTATCTTGGGAATATCACCGGTGTACGGTGTGACCGAGAAATAGTATCGAGAAGGAAGACCTCATGGCAAGCCGATAGGACGCCGCCATTTTCGGTCGACCGTCGCAATCACCGGCGTGTGGAAGTTCTCAGTTCTCTTCACAAAGTTCAAAGTTTAAAATAAAAAGAAGAGTGATTTAAAAGAAAATAATCTGCTTGTGTGTTCTTATAATTTTCTTTATTCATTTGTTTTATTTGTGTGTTAAATTCAACTTGTCTCTCTCCTCTGTGTGCGGTACTCGAGCCCTATTATTTCAATATAAAACGTAACTTCGTAAATAAAATATTGAGCTCGGTAAGAGCTAGTCCGGGAAAGTTCTTTGTTTTGTTACAGCATCGTGATCCGGGTAGTTTACCTACCTGGCGCCGGGGAAGTTCCCTAAAACGGGTCATCGATGGTGTATTATAAGTTCGAAGTGTGGAATTTATAATTCGGCAATTTGGAATCCGTAAATTGCCATTTTTGTAACGATTCGCGGGTAAGATCCGCAAGTAAACGTAAAGATCGTTACACCCTGTTGGCTCTTTCTACATATCCTTGCGATTGACTGTGTCGTGGTTTGCCGTGAACGATTTTAACTTCGCTCCATGTGTTATGAAGTTCCGTAATTACGGAATTTACAAATTTACGACCATTATTATCAGAGTGCAGGATTGCAGGTGCACCAAATATTATAAGTCGAATGCTGTATAGGTTTTGAAACTAGACCTCTTTTTTTATTTGTGCTCTTTTTTTGACATACAACACATAATTTAAAAATTGCATAATGATTTATCTGGTGACGTTGCAATATAATTTTTACATTCGTACTCCATACGATTTCTTCCTCCATAACCGATGGACGAATGTACATTTGACAGAACTTCAAACATCTCTTTATTTGTCACGTAATACAAAATTTTTTCATTGTCCTTAGTTATAGGTTTTATTAATTTTTGTTGTCCGTTCACAGAAATTATATCACATCTCTGTAAAAATCTATAATCACTTGAACTCTTTTTTACACTTAATTTTAATAGTTCCACTTTTTCAATGCACTTTTTGTATTCCTCAGAGGATACAAAAGTATTATTATCTGCCCGTTTTTTTGAAAGCAAGTCTTTCAAAAGAGTCTCGAAACGATTTTTACTGTCAAAATTTTCCATTTTTCGCGAATAATTTGAGTCTTTAATTAAAGGCAATCAATTGCAAACTAACCAATATTATCAAAGTTTACATTAATCAGCCTGGTTATCATAAATTTAGATACTCGATTGTAAACAAATAGAAACTAATTTCTTTTCATATTATTATTCGCGAGAATAATAATATGCGAGACTCACTCTATTGTAAACGAAATAATATTACATTTCACGAGACATTTTATTTATAACTAGTCGATAAATTTCGATTAAAATGAATTTAAATTAAATTAAAAAATTAATTATCAACATTGCCCAAACTGGACTAGGCATTGTCGACATTGCCCGAAAAACCTGCATAATATAAATTTTTTCGGACATTGACCGAAACTGACGGTCATTGTCGACAATGCCCAGTGGCTGTGGGCAATGTCGACATTGCCCGGGCATTATCAAACATTGCCCGATTCCGGACATTGACCGTAACATATACATTAATACCTAGTGGACGTATATGATGAAGTTAAAAAAAATAAAAAAACGAAAATGGCGTCCTTCTAAAGCCAATGTTTAAATAATCAAAATCATCATTTTTTAAACAATGACTTCAATATTTTTATATAATATTACAGAATAATTCAAAAGTGATTAATAATTGTTGACTATATAGGTTATACATAAACGAATATTTCATATTTTATAAATCAGTTTTTGGTATTAAATTATATGTAACACTACAGGTATCTACTACACCTGCTACAAGGCTTGACGTAATAAATTTACAAGAACAGTTGGACATGAGACTACAACAACGACAAGCAAGAGAAAATGGAATATGTCCAGTGCGACGGGAATTATTTAATCAATGTTTCGGTGAGTAGAGTTAAATTTAGTTTAAATATTGTGTATAGAGTAGAACGGGGTGAGGTAACAAACGGGGCGAGGCAGCTAATTGCATCTTATTTCTGCATCTTTTTTTCAAATCGTGGGCTGTTGATAATGTAGAGTGCTTATGGTAGTTTACTTTAGTTACTAACAGATAGACATTATTGCTGCAGCAGTTTAGCTGTGACAGTATCATTTATGAAAACAGACTTTTTGTGTCTTTTTGTGTTGATTCTATTGGTTCTTCTAAATGTTTTTTCTTTTCTTCTACTCAAATACATTTTAAACCTAAAATTGAATTTTATAAACAATTTTTTAAGAATAACAAATTTATATTTCCTTAAAATGTTAAATTGAATTTAATTAATGTTATTATTATTATATTATTTAAATGTAAATTTTTTAAGTTTACGAGCAAAATAAAAGTAAATTAAGGACAACAACCTTGTTATGTTTCGCTAATTTTAACTTAAAGTTATGTTTTTTAACTATTAAAACCTATTTAAATAACTGCCTCGCAAACCAAAATGTGCTGTCTTGGCTGTCTTACCCCGTTCTACTCTACCTTTCAGTTTTTGCAATCTTTTTAAATTTTCAGGGTGGCGAGTTTTTTTTTTAATTTGAATTCCCGGTCATTTCCCGGTCAATTTTATAAAATTTCCTGGTCAAATTTTTATCAACAATTAAACACTATTATTGTATAATTTTTTAAATGAACAAGAATGGTCATTTCCCGGTTTTCCTGTTCAATTTTTTAAATTCCGGTCATTTCCCGGTTTTTCCGAGATTCCCGGTCAGCTCGCCACCCTGATTTTGTAATAAAGGTTTTTACCACTTTACTATTCTTCTAGATAGAAGTTTAAATATTTGATTAATTGTTACTTTACTATTCTATGTCTGAATTCTTTAAAATATCATACTTATCTTTAGTTCTACCTGTCCGACAATCCAGTTGACTTCTTGAATCACATCTAGAAACACAAAGAATAAAAAAAATACTAAAAATACTTTTAAAAAATATGTGTCCTTTTGAAAAATCCAATATAACCTATAAATGTGGCTATATTAAAAAGAAGAGATCCAAAAGTATCAATAAAAAGGGATCCACTATGTCGGACACAAATTTTTTTAATTTATCCAATTTGGTTGAAAGTTGTTACTCGACGGTTTTTGGAGTCGCTGATAACGAATCTAATGTTAACTTTCAGAAATTCAAATTGTCGAATCCAACATGGCCGAAATTTTTATTAAATTCATCAGATTCGGTTAAAAGTTTTTGCGGTCAGTGATAACAAATTTACGTCGGTATTTAGAAATTCAAAATGGCCGATTCAATATGGCGGACACAAATTTTTTTATTTCATCGGATTTGATTAAAAGCTCTTACTCGATTATTTTTAGGGTCTCTGTTAAAGAATCTGATGTTGGTTTTTAAAAATTTTTCAACTATTTATTTTCAGTCCTGAAATGTTATAAAATGTATGTATGTAAAATTTGCTTTCTAAATATTTTAGGTATGAAAGGACGGAGAGTATCGCTTGAAATCTCGCAGTATATTGGGATTTAATCAGGACCCTGAAATAATTTTTTCAAAAACTTAGACGTTTCCTTTTTCGAAACAACTCTCGTAATTCCGCATTCTTATCATGTACTTCAGCCAATTCTTTTGTTATACGACTGCCCCAGACGGGTTTTCCCTAAATTGGCGCCCAGTTACGCAATTGAATAACACCTCTTTCAACGTAATGAGTGTTTTTCCAACACTACGTCATAATTCGGCACCATAGCCGCCTCTCTCATTCTTAAGGCACACCATCCGAACCAGCCATCGACAATGGACGACCTTCGCAACTTTTCAATAAACTAGTTTCGTCTCTTCCACTCCCAGACAACATTAGTCCTTTCTCTCTCCCTCCTATAAAGAACCTTCGTCAACCATTTTTAACGCAAACCGCCTTTTTCCGGTTTTAACGAAAATCGCCGTGAAAGAAATTTAGTAACGATAAATCAAAAATTTAAACCAATTGTTCACAAAACCTTAAAGGAGAGAAATTTAAAAAAATAAATTTAATACCTTATTTTTTAATGAAATAACAGCAATTAACCTACTAAAAATCTAGAAAAATCGAGTTTATTTTAAAAACCCTCGACAGATGATTTCCATTCTAGGTGAAAAATATTCTAATTTCATGAGTGATCAAATATCTGTAAAAAAATTTAGTGGTAAGACTTTTGGGTTGAACTTTATCGAGACTCACCGTGCCCCCACACCGAAGGAACTTCTGATCAACTGAAAGACGTCCCTACGTAGCCCCTTCGACTTGGTGTCTCCGTCACCATCCACGGCTAAGATTCTGGGCATACCAACGTCTCCAGGAATACCTACCCCTCCGCCCGTGATGGACCCGGTACGGAGCTCCAGGACTGCTTTACGACAACGCCCAGCGCCGCACCAGATCGGCAGCAGATTTGATTCCAGCATATCCAGCGGAGAGTGACGAGGACGTCCTCTAACTAAGCCCAGGCTTCCTCGTCACAAAGACACCTTCACCCCGCTCCCCGAAGAAAATACCTTCCTTAATAGACATCCCCTAAGGGGATGTTAACAGTATCATAGGGAGACAATATCCACTACCAACACATCACCCCAGACTCGGTTCTAACGCAAAAGATAACCAAGCGAGACAATTATTGAACCAAATTCCATGTATCAATTGTCAAAAATTGTATACAGGTCAATGTATGTCTCTTTTATTTAAAAGAGTTCGCGAGCATGAGAGATCCTTTAAAGAAAAAAATACAAACACAGGTCTATGTTCACATTCTACTAAATACAAACATAACTTTAATTTTCCAAACACTTTCATTTTAGATTTTGAAGTCCGTTTATGAAAATTATTTACATACAAAAATATTTAAAATCAACAGTAAATTTTAACACGGATACAGCAATTTTAAGACAATCATAAGCTTTTTAAATATCAAAAATTTAAACTTTCTTTTAAATTTCAAATATTGAATTTTTAAAAACTAATATCAGATTCGTAATCAACGACCCTAAAAACCCCTGAGTAAACATTTTCAAGCGAATCCGAATAATTAAAAAAATGTCCTCCATATTGGATCCGCCATTTTGAATTTTTAAAAACTAACTTCAAATTCGTAATCAGCGACCCAAAAAAGATTAATTCATGATATGTAAAGAAAATCCGTCCATATGAATAATGTGTTCCTCAAAAGGTTAAACTATTTATTAATAAATCAATAAAAAAATGTAACAATAATAAATTAATAGAAACTCTGTTTATAAGGTAAGTTTTTCTTATTTTTTATTTTAAAAATTTTAAGGATTCCTCCTGTTTGCGAATTCTAATACAAATTTTATTTTTATTGTAGGTGTTTTTTTTCTTTTTCGATAGAATAACCAATTAAATGACTGTTAATTTATTATTTTTACATTCTCATCACATGAGAAGGTATTACTTTTGGTCGAAAATTAACTTTTGCTAATTTTATGAAATATTTACGTTTTGGGATCCCCTGAACCCGAAAAACATGGTCCGGCGATGGTGTATGTCTGTTCGTCTGTCTGTAGACACAAAATGTTGTTCCCATGATAACTTTTGAAAAACTTATAGGATTGTTTTTAAATTTAACACACTCAAAGTTGTTGTAAAAATGAAAGCTGAGTTCATTAATCAGCCATTTTCGTTAAAAAATATAAAAACTACAGTACTTTCAAAATATTAAAATTCAATTTTTTCAAATTTTCATTTGCATATTACAATAAAACAACTTTTCTCTATAACATTTTTTCTTAGAAACTTAATTTTTTTTAAGTTTTTGGGTCAGGCCAGCTCAACTGAGTTAAAAAATTTTTATTGATTTTCTAAAATGTTATAACTAAAATATATTCATAAAAGTTTTAACATTTTAGAAAATCAATTAAATTTTTTTAACACAGTTGGGCTTGTGACCCTTTTTTACATTTCAATTTTTGGTCCTATCTTGTTAGAAATGGTTTTTTACATTCTTATCACATGAGAAGGTATTAGATTTGGTGGAAAATTGACTTTTGCTAATTTTATGAAATTAGAAAACGTTTACTATTTTATAAGTTATTAAAATATTTGTATAGCATTAAAAATAACGATTTTTTTCAAAATCTCTGAGTGAATTTCTTGTTTCTTGCTCAAAATAACATATAATAACAATATTTGTTAATATATTTAATAAATTATGTATAAAATATTATATTATAATATTCTATAAAATTTAAATATTTTTTTACAAAAATAAATTTCGTCCTTTCTGAAGGACGGTTGCCGTACTGCCGACAAGACGCCGTAATGTGCAGTGGCGCGTCCTGCCGGAAGGCCCTTCCGAAAGTTTAGGCGCTTGGACGTTCTTTTAAAAAAATCATGCAGAAAATTTATCTAATTGTTCATTTTTAAATCTTCAGTAAATTTAAAGTTTTTCTTATAAGAATTAAACTATCACATCTACTGTATCCGGATTTACATGTTTTTAATCATACATTTGATATTATATTTACAAATCACGTATATAGGGGGAACGAGACATAATGGCTAAGGGGCATAATGAATAATAACCTACGATACCGACGAAGTGTACGTTCATTGTTGAAAAAAAGTAATATAGGGACGTTTGTTTTTTTAAAAGAAACCTGAGATACCAGAGTAACTTTTCTAGTAGATAAACACTTAATTAAACCAAAAATGTCCGAGTAAATCAACAAAGAGTGAAAAGTTAGCCATTACGCTCCTGTCTACACTACACAAAAAACTTGATACTAATACTTTAAGATTATTTTAGCTGCTTCTGCAAATCATGTTTCTGCTAAGAGAGTTAATATAATTAAAAATAACTTCACAATTTTGATCATCAAGACCAAAAATATACATTTTAATCCACTTAATCTTGCAATCATCAGCAAACAAAAACATGTGAGGAGAATGTAATCCTTAAAGTCGTAGTAACTTTAAGAAAAAAAATGTTTTATGAAATATATAATAGGAAACAAGAATTTTTAATAACTCATATTTCTTATAAATGAACAGTCACTAAATTCGTAAAGATATTTAAAGTAATAATATTTTCAGATGAATTGATTCGTCAAGTTACTATTAACTGTGCAGAACGAGGAATCTTGCTGCTAAGAGTTCGTGATGAAATAAAAATGACAATGTCGGCATATCAAACTCTATATCAAAGCAGCGTTGCTTTTGGCATAAGAAAATCCCTTCAAGTTTGTATATACCTCTATCATATAGAATATATTACACAAATGGCGTATACTTCCCTTATAACACACGGTTATTTAGGATATCCTTAGGACTTGTTTGCGTCGCGTAGGATAACCCTTGGATATCCTAGGGATGTCACGGCTTTTTCTATTTCAATTATCATTTTTTTATCCTCTGGAGTTCCAATATTTTGTATTTTAAAGTTGCCGCACCCCTGGACAAAAGCACACCCTCTGCTTTAAGGGTTGAAGTATATTAGTCGGCTAATGGCTCATTTAGAAGGGTATGAATTAAGCTTTAATTTCTGATAACACAAGTCTGCAAAAAAATAAAAATTTCTGTTGTTTGAGATCGAGATGTCATTTCCTGTAGAAAGATACAGCGATATTGCAAACAACAAACTAAATTAGCAATTAAAAAAAATTAATAGAGTAAAAGTTTTAATTTGGTAAGAAATTAATTTAATTTGATAAACAAAAATAACAATATGCTAAATTTGGTTTCAATTGGTTTAGCCATTTTTAAGTGATGCTTAACAAAGATTCTGTGGCATACTGACACACACGTAAATACACATACACAAAATTTTTTAATGGTATATTTGTAATTCATAAGGCTCAAAACGTACAATTATGTGCGAAATTTAAAGTTCAGAGCAATGTACATATAAAATTATGTTTATATATATAGATAAGATATATATAGATAGATTCTCCATACGTTTATGATAAAAAAATATAAATTACAAAACATGTTTTGTAATTTACATTTCTTTTAAGGTACTACTACACTTTAGAATTTAAAAAAAATTAATTTTTTATTGTATTTTTTAACTCCTTATGACTTCAGAAAACACCTCCTAAAGTATTCATAACCAATTGTAAAAAATAAAAGTAAATTTTTCAAAAAATAATCAATAAATATAAAGAGCCATTGACAAATTAAGTAAATCTTTAAGGAGATAATGGGGTCCAGCTTTTTGTTACGAACAGTAGAAACATTAGTGCTAATGTATGTAACAGTGTCTGACATAAAAAAAGTAGAGGGGTTTCAATTTGGAAAAGAATTTTAGGTAATTTATGGATGGCCTCTAACGATACATATAAGGTTTAAACGCGTTTTTCTCAAAATGACAGTTTTCTCAGATTGCGGTCACTTTATGTCTGAATCTACTGAACCGATTTTAATAAATAATAACTCGTTTTGTTTGTTAGCATGTCCTGTGTGTGAATTCACCAGAAAATAGTCAATAAATTACAAAAAACATTTTTGCAGACTAGAAAAATACTGAAAAACGTAGTGTATTTTGACAAAAATTATTGAAACCTCTGTTATTTTTTATTTTAGTCGATTTTTCATTAATGGTGGTTGATTTTTATGCAAGACACATTCCTTTTTAAAAAGCAGTTTGGATTTTTTGTTTCCGATTTGTCAATCTTGAGATAAACTGCCCGCAATTGGACAATTAACTTTTTGGAGTTTCGATCTGGATGCTGTCTGCTGATTATTATATTAAATAAAAATTAAAAACAAACCATTATTTTTATTCTCCAAATATGTACTAATATAAGTAAAAAAGTTTTTTTACATATTTATAATAAAAGACCTACAATTTTTTTTTAAATTTGGTCTTTTAAGAGCCTTCTAAAGTGTAGTAGTACCTTAAGTTTGTTTTTTGTGTGATTGTAATCACATAAAAAAAAACAAATGTATACAAAATTATTTTAAGACTTATCCATTCGCCTATTAAGAAATTGCAATACCAATTGGTTTCCTTTTATTTATCAACGATACAGCTATTGGTATTTCCTTAGAATCCACGATGTTGAAATCAAATAAATGAGAATTATAATAAAAAATGTGCTTCCTCCTTTTCAACAACACTTGAAGAAATAAATAAATTAAAAAAAAATATTATCAAAAACAAAAAATATCCGCTACATACTATAAAGCATTAGTAAATGACGAGCAAAAAAACTTTAGCCGAAGTCAAACCGATTAAAAATATTCGAGCTAGACTGCCCAAAAAAATGACTTTTAATTTTTTTAATGCTACCTTAAAATATTGTTCCTAATGGAAAAAAATTAGATACGTATTTTTTCTGTAATCATTTTTAAGGGTCGGGCTAGTCCATTTTTCTTTAAAACACTGATTTTAACTTCTTAGTATTCTGCAATTGTTAAAAATATTGTAAAAAGAATTTCTATCGATACAGAACTATCTTCATGCTACTGCCAAAAGTTTTCAGTAATTAAGGCAAAGAAATAAATAGTTTTCAGGCCGTACTAGTCCATAAAAAAGCTGAATCTGAATTTTCAGAACTATCGTAAGACTTTAGTTTTCGAGGGCGGCGCTTCAACTCTGCCGCTATTGCGACTTTGTTCTTTTTCTACTGTTCTTCTGCGTCAATAGTTAAAATTTAAAAGTATATCAATGTCAAAGCGGAATTTACAGCACAACAATGAAGAAACAAATGTTAAAATAGTGTAAAAAGTTAAATGATAAAATTGTAAACGGATGTAAAAAACAGAAACAAAAAGAAGTAAACATATATATAAAGTTCAATAAATAAAATTGTAAAAGGACAGATAAAAATCACATAATAAATTAAAATTGTAAAAGGACACATAAATCACAGAATAAATTAAAATAGAAGGAAAAAAACAAATTAAAGCTAATTTAAATTACGCATTTTGGGGGCGTCGAGGTATATACTAATTTTTTCTGCCTTCTACCCTTTTTACGTTTCTTCCTACTTACTTTTTGTTCTTGCGAGAGTTTTCTTAGCCTCTTCGAGGGCTGTCTTGAAGACTCCGCATCCTCCACTACCGGCAATATGGTTCACGTTTTACTTGTCGCTATACTTTTCTTTACAGAGGAAGCAGCTTGAGCCTCTTTTACAGTTTGCGAACTTATGATTGACTTCTTCACACCTGAAACACGCAGTCGATCTGTCCGCCGCACCGCCTTCGATTTTTTTTCCTATGTGGCCATAATCTAGGCATCTATGACACTTAGTGACCATTACTCGCTTACTAATTGTGCACGACATAAAGCCAATATTTATGCCACTTCTTGCAGCTTTTACGCTTCCTCTGGGTCACCTTCCTGCTCCCTGGCTTCTTCAGGACATTTTCCAACACTTGTTGGACTTCTACTTGGGAAAGGCAATCGAAGTAGCAAATCTCCAGCATTATCCTTCGATCCAGAGACTGTACCTTACCCATGCCTTCCAATGCTTTGGAAACCTCCACGGTACGGTGAAGGCCTCTTTATTGGTGTCGCCTCCGATTTTAATTAGGAGGTCTCCCCTTTTTGTAGCCCTTGCAGCTACGACCCTTGTGTGGTTAATGTCTGGATCAACCTCCTTACGAAGGTTTCCCAAAACATCGGCGAACGTCCGTTCATTTAAAATCAATTAACGCTAATAGTCAACAAAGGGACAGACACTTCTTCAGTTAAAATTTTATCTCCGGCCGTGTAACACCTGGCTGTAGTCTTACTTTTGATATTTTTCGATACTTTGGATATTTATGGATGAGTTTGTATAAACTGAAAAATTTTGGATTTCTTTGTATGAATTTGAATATTTTCCAAAAACTTATTTAAAAACATTAAGAAGTGACGTGTGTGTGTAACCACGTGATGAAGTACGGTTAAATTAAAAATTTTGTTTTTTTCGGGAGTGTTCGAAACTTTTTAAAATGCTCGAGTAAGTGAGTGCTTTTTTGGTGTCTAAAGATTACACCGAACGAGTCTGATCTAGAATAAAGGTCAAGCGTTTGTTCGCAGTAAGTCTACAAAAGATTTTTTAATCCAAAAAATATTACTTCATTACGACCCCTACGTTATCTCCTTTTTCCCTTTTTTACACGCAAAAAGTAGAAACAATTATACAAAAAGATTTGTAAATTTTATTTAGCCCATAAGAGTGCGAAAAATGACTAAATTTCCAAGAAATTAAAAAGTCATTAAAAATTAATTATCGTTTATAGTTCACGAATAGACAGACATTTCATAAGTTGAAAATTTACAACGGGCCGTGTAACACCTCGCTGTTGGGGAAGTCTACATGCATATGACAAAATTGAAAGTGACGAAAGTTAATTATTTCGAAAAGTGATTTATTGGGAAATGTTTATTAAGACGTTACCTTTCAGTAGCCACAAACACCTTCTGACACTTTTTGCCACTTTTCGATTTTCTCGTGTTTTTAAAGTGTGCGCCACTCCTCAAAAGTGGTCAAAACAGCGAATCTAGCTGAACAAATACAAGGTTATTAATTTTATACTGGATTTTTACAGCACTATGCTTCTAACATTTTCTGGGATCACTGATTATGTATCTGAAGCTAGTTGTTAAAAATTCAAAATGTCGGATTAAATATGGCGACCGAAAAAGTTAAAATTATTATGGGTTTTTATGGTGCCTTATTACAAATCTGAAGTAAAATATATGGGGCAAAATTCCTCACATGACCAGGTTAAAAAATTTATGTTGTTGAATTTTCTCGAAACTTTGCCAAAATGTTACTATTATTTATGGAAGTGTAAATATAAATTATTATTGAATTTGATAAAATGTTTTTTGAGTTACGGAATATCAAAATTTTGACTTTTTAGAAAATATATTTTTTCCAATTTAATATATTGATAAGTAAAATGAATAAAATTAAAAGTGTAAATAGTGATTTTTAAAGGTTTTTTACGAGCTGCCAACTGGTAATGAAAAAATTGTTTTCTTTTAATTTGACTGAAATTCAAGGTCATATATATCTCAAATATATCTCAAAATCAATTTTTTATTTTTTTTAACCTACCCCAATGGAATGCTTACCTTCTTTCCTATGCGTCAAGGGAAAACCAGAGTGGGAATTTGAACATTTTTCAAGAAAATAATAATTTATCATTATTTTATAAGGAACATTATGATTTAGAAAATTCATTATTTGACCTGGGCAGTTGAGTATAATCAGACAAGATTAAACTGCAATGTATACTT